TGGAAAAACGGGTTCAGGATTCCTAAAAAACACAAAAATCCTGGAGAATGAGGATTGGGAGACACAAAAATCCTGGGAAATGGGATTGGGAGACACAAAAATCCTGGAAAATGGGATTTAGGGACACAAAAAACCCGGAAAACTGGATTGTGAGCAATGGAAAACCCGGAAAATGGGATTGGGAGACACAAAAAACCTGGAAAATGGGATGTGGAAACATGAAAAACCTGGAAAATGGGATTGGGAAACATGAAAAACCTGGAAAATGGGATTGGGGGACATAAAAAACCTGGAAAATGGGATTTGGAGACACAGAAAACCTGGAAAAATGGATTCAGGATTCAAGAGCTGGAAATGGGATTGGGAGACACAGAAAACCTGGAAAAACGGGATCAGGATTCCTAAAAAACACAAAAATCCTGGAAAATGAGGATTGGGAGACACAAAAAACCCGGAAAATGGGATTTGGAGACACAAAAAACCTGGAAAATGGGATTTGGAGACACGAAAAACCTGGAAAATGGGATTTGGGGACATAAAAAACCTGGAAAATGGGATTTGGGGACACAAAATTCCAGGGAAATTGGGATTGGGGACACCAAGGGAAAGGGAGGAGACACGGCCGGGACCTGCTGGGCTCCGCCCGCCAGCCCCGCCAGGAGAGCTGGGAAAACACGGAAAAGACGGAAAAATTCCTTGGGATAGGCAGGAAATTCCCCAAAATACCAAAGATGTGGAATAAAGAATAAAAAAAACCTGGAAAGAAGGGATTGGGAGACACAAAAAACCCGGAAAACTGGATTGAGGGCAATGGAAAACCCGGGAAATGGGATTGGGAGACACGAAAAACCCGGAAAATGGGATTGGGAGACACAAAAATCCTGGGAAATGAGATTGGGAGACACAAAAAACCTGGAAAATGGGATTGGGAGACACAAAAAACCCGGAAAATGGGATTGGGAGACACAAAAAACCTGGAAAATGGGATTGGGAGACACAGAAAACCTGGAAAATGGGATGAGGAAACGCAAAAATCCTGGAAAAATTGATTGGGGGACACAGAAAACCTGGAAAAACGGATTGGGGGACATAAAAATCCTGGAAAATGGGATCAGGAAACACAAAAACCCTGGAAAATGGGATTGGGAGACACAAAAACCCTGGAAAATGGAATTTGGGGACACAAAATTCCAGGGAAATTGGGATTGGGGACACCAAGGGAAAGGGAGGAGACACGGCCGGGACCTGCTGGGCTCCGCCCGCCAGCCCCGCCAGGAGAGCTGGGAAAACACGGAAAAGACGGAAAAATTCCTTGGGATAGGCAGGAAATTCCCCAAAATACCAAAGATGTGGAATAAAGAATAAAAAAAACCTGGAAAGAAGGGATTGGGAGACACAAAAAACCCGGAAAACTGGATTGAGGGCAATGGAAAACCCGGGAAATGGGATTGGGAGACACGAAAAACCCGGAAAATGGGATTGGGAGACACAAAAATCCTGGGAAATGAGATTGGGAGACACAAAAAACCTGGAAAATGGGATTGGGAGACACAAAAAACCTGGAAAATGGGATTGGGAGACACAGAAAACCTGGAAAATGGGATGAGGAAACGCAAAAATCCTGGAAAAATTGATTGGGGGACACAGAAAACCTGGAAAAACGGATTGGGGGACATAAAAATCCTGGAAAATGGGATCAGGAAACACAAAAACCCTGGAAAATGGGATTGGGAGACACAAAAACCCTGGAAAATGGAATTTGGGGACACAAAATTCCAGGGAAATTGGGATTGGGGACGCCAAGGGAAAGGGAGGAGACGGCCGGGACCTGCTGGGCTCCGCCCGCCAGGCCCGCCAGGAGAGCTGGGAAAAGACGGAAAAGACGGAAAAATTCCTTGGGATGGGCAGGAAAATCCCAAAAATCCCAGGGATGGGGAGTGGGGAGTAAAAAAAACCTGGAAAAACAGGATTGGGTGACATGAAAAACCTGGAAAAACGGATTTGGGGATGTAAAAATCCCAGAATCCCATCCCAAATCCCGGGAATTGGATCCCAAATCCCAGAATTTAATCTGAAATCCCAGGATTTGGATCCAAAATCCTGGGAATCCCATCCCAAATCCCAGGAATTGGATCCCAAATCCCAGGAATTCAATCCCAAATCCCAGAATCCCATCCCAAATCCTGGGAATTCAATCCCAAATCCTAGGATTTGATCCCAAATCCTGGGAATCAGATGCCAAATCCTGGGAATTCAATCCTAAATCCCAGGAATTCGATCCCAAATCCCAGGATTTGGATCCCAAATCCCAGGAATCGGATCCCGAATCCCGGGAATTCGATCCCAAATCCGGGGAACTTGATCCCAAATCCCAGAATCCCATCCCAAATCCTGGGAATTCGATCCCAAATCCCGGGAATGGGATCCCGAATCCCAGGAATTCGATCCCAAATGCCAGGATTTGATCCCAAATCCTGGGAATTCGATCCCAAATCCCAGGAATTCGATCCCAAATCCCAGAATCCCATCCCAAATCCCGGGAATCCCATCCCAAATCCCGGGATTTGATCCGAAATCCTGGGAATTCGATCCCAAATCCGGGGAATGGGATCCCAAATCCCACAAATCCCATCCCAAATCCCAGAATCCCATTCCAAATCCCAGGATTTGGATCCCAAATCCCAGAATCCCATCCCAAATCCCAAGAATCCCATCCCAAATCCCGGAATCCCATCCTAAATCCTGGCAATTCGATCCCAAATCCCAGAATCCCATCCCAAATGCCGGGAATGGGAACCCAAGTCCCGGGAATTCCATCCAAATCCCGGGAATTCCATCCCAAATCCCATGACTTGGATCCCAAATCCCAGGAATTCGATCCCAAATCCCATGATTTGGATCCCAAATCCCAGGAATTCAATCCCAAATGGCGGGATTTGATCCCAAATCCTGGGAATTCGATCCCAAATCCCAGGAATTCGATCCCAAATCCCGGGAATTCGATCCCAAATCCCAGGAATCCCATCCCAAATCCCGGGATTTCGATCCCAAATCCGAGAATCCCATCCCAAATCCCATGATTTGGATCCCAAATCCCAGGAATCCCATCCCAAATCCCAGAATCCCATCCCAAATCCCAGGAATCCCATCCCAAATCCCAGGAATCCCATCCCAAATCCCGGGATTTGATCCGAAATCCTGGGAATTCGATCCCAAATCCGGGGAATGGGATCCCAAATCCCACAAATCCCATCCCAAATCCCAGAATCCCATGCCAAATCCTGGGAATTGGATCCCAAATCCCAGAATCCCATCCCAAATCCCAGAATCCCATTCCAAATCCCAGGATTTGGATCCCAAATCCCAGAATCCCATCCCAAATCCCACAAATCCCATCCCAAATCCCGGGAATTCGATCCCAAATCCCAGAATCCCATCCCAAATCCCATGATTTGGATCCCAAATCCCAGAATCCCATCCCAAATCCCAGAATCCCATCCCAAATCCCGGGAATGGGATCCCAAATCCCAGAATCCCATCCCAAATCCCAGAATCCCAT